TCTCAGGAAAATATTGATACAAGTTTATGATTAATTTTAGTAGATGTATTAATGTAGGCAATGCATATACATTTAATATTTGTAATGTGTAGAATAAGTAGGTCTCACTCACCTTTTGTACGGACTTTTTTTATAGCGGGTTAAGTGGAAGAGCAGCTACAGCTGAACTTCGCCCGTATTTGGCTATTTTTTTATATAATCAGTCCATTTGGAAATAAAGACGTTTATTATTATTATTATTATGTTGTCATATCCTTTAATAGATGTGGTTGATGATAATAATTGAAAGACTCAGGATATGAATCTGGAATTCATGAAAACACCGCAAAATTCTTATAGGCATCGATCAAATTCTCAGCCTGATTGCAGCACTGGTAGTGTTAGTCGTCTTCTGGGTTACAAAAATGGGGATACCAGAACAACTACTGGACAGGAATCGCAAAGCAGGTCTTAGAAAAGGTTAACTACTGAAAATATTAATATAAACATAACATGTGCCGTTTTTCCTATATAGCTTCAAATTGCGTAAACAGGGATTTTTCTCGCTGATTGAAGTACTGGGGGTGTCAGTCGTTTCCTGCTTAAAAAAATGGGGATGGCGGTACAACTACTGGAGAGGCATCGCAAAGTAGGTCTTAGGAAAGATTAGCTACTGAAAATATTAATATAAATATTACATGACTCGTTTTTTCTAAAACTCGCAGTATAATATAACTACAAGTCGCATTTATAGGGATTTTCCGTCCTTGCCAAAAGTGTGTTGCGAGCAGAGAGAGCAATGCGAGCTCTGACAAAGCCACTTAGCTACGTATCAAGTTTCCCGTACTCACTTTAAATATTCCATATGATGTAAGAATTGGGACGACGTGTCAAATCTTGTAGGATTACAATTTACAATACCTCCCTCATGTATTCCGATAAATAAAACGGCGGCACCCTATGAGCAAGCCCGTTCCAAGGTACACAAATTGCGAACAGCAGGATCACTACGGTGTCAAACTTGTTTCATAGAAGGATCCTCCCTCGGTCCATGAAACAGCTAAGGACTCCGCGCACTCAAACTCGCTCTGCTACGCGCTGCCAGGCTACTTCTGCTGACGTTTGGCCAGCCGCGATACAACCGCCCATCAACAGACTGTCCAAAGGCGTTAGGTCAATCTTCAAATCGATGTAGTACTGCGACTTTTTATTTTGAAAATATACCATATTAGTTTTCATTTTTTTACCAAAGAAATGTCTACACCACACAAGAGGCTGCATTACACATAGCTGTTGGATACAGTTGATAACTTTGATCGGAATGCCATAAGACGCAAAATCCATCAATTTTTTGAAAGGCAGAAACTTCTCACCATAGACAAAGTAGTACAGTGATGAAGACTTACCTTCCTTCAAAAGGACCATATTCTATGGTTTACTCAATGAACCTCATATTGAGTATAGAAACCGGGCAGAAATAGTATTTTGATGGACAGCCAAGAGATTATTTTATGGGGAAGAAACTATTTAAAATCAATAAAGAGATACCGCAGCCTGGACCGGTATTCTCCTTCTTTGGCTTGAAAGGGCTACGTTTTCAAAACGCTTAGCGCCTCATGTCGTACGGAAAGCTAGCTATATTTGGTAGATTTGGAACCAATACCTGTTAGATGCTTGCATTATTATCAGTTTTCTTGAATACTATATGAAACAATTATTTCCAGGAAAAGGAAAACGATTTGTTATCTGTCACATTGACAGTGAAGATGGCTTTGGGCCCACTGCCCTATGGGCATTTGAGTCAAAGAAAACGACCGACTACCATGAAGAAATGGACGGGAGTTCATTTGAACCACGGTTTGAAGAATTGCTCCCAAAGCTTGACGACAATGCCGTCATTGTATTTGATAAAACTAGAAAAAATTCCCACACTGACGAGAAGAAAGGCAGAAATCTAACAATGGCTCCTGTTAACAGACATTCATTTCAATGAAAATATGGTCAACGCAGAACTTGCCCATCTAGTCCGGCAGCACAAATATAAATATAATCTTAATGACTAAAAACCAAAATAAGACCGTTTTATGGCTACCCCCTTTTCACTGCGAATTAAATCCCACTGAAATGCTTTGGGCAAATATAAAAAACTATGCGGCTTCAAACAATATGATATTCAAATTTTCTGACGTGAAAAATTTTATGAAGCTGTCAACAGAGTGACGGCAAACCGTAAGATTGCATCCGTCACGTTCAAGAGACAATTTAAACAAGGATGTGGGATCTGGACAATACGATCAATATTCAAATTGACCCTGTAATAATTAATATTAACCATTCGGACGATGATTCAAGTACTTCCAGCGAATAAAGAATTGTGGAAAGTATGTGCGCTTCTTTCTATAAAAATAATCATTCATTTTATTAGATTATTCCAAGACCATTGAGGAAAATACGGATCTGTGCAATCTGGCTTTCTTGCATGTTGTATTTTGTCTGGGAGTAAATGGACTACGAATCTAGTATCGTACATTTAACTGGTGTGGTTCAGAAACGTTGCCAAATGGTCGGTCGGAAAGAAATTAGCGTTATCCAATCGTTGGGTTCGACTTGACCTGTTTTTTTTTTTGTTATACATGTTATATGCACTCAAAACAATGGACTTACTATTCCATACAATGTTGCACCAGACGCTAGCTCAGCAACAGATAACGACTTCTCGCTAACTCGTTGTTTACGCTTTATTTTCTAGAAGTGCTTTGTAAGCACACCAATAGTATAAATAGGCATTGCGCCCATTTCATGTCGTTCAATACCCGGTTAGACTCCGTAAATGTCACATTTGTAAACCTTTGTATTTTATATGGACTGAAGGTTCAGTCCTCAAATAAAATTTTTTAAAAAGTTATTTCTAAATCTAATGATTTAAGATACATGTTTGTAGCTGGCTCAAAGGGTGATGTCACCCTTGCGTGAGAAATGCAGAAATGGCTGGCTATCAAAATCTTTGTACAATGATTGATACTAATTCATCTGTAGGACTCCTTTGTGGACAGTTACATTGAGAATGGATAAATTCTGAGGGACACAAAAGGTGCCTATATCGCTTGATTGGAGGGCAACATCGAATTGTCTCGCAAAGCTAAACTTTCATTACCGCCTGCTGAAAACCATGCATGTAATCTGTTTTTTCCTAATAGAGCGCAGCCGCGCGGATAGATTAGGATAAGCTGTAGCTGAGCGGTTCTATCGCGGATGGCCAGATGTGAGCGGAGGTACGAAGCGAATCCAGCAAATACAAATCTCCTGCGTGTGACCTTAGTATGATAAGTAAAGGCTTTCTGTGACTACTTTTTGGATTCTATATACTCTCACCCTTCCTTCGACTCATTCGGAAGCTTGAAGGGAGCAGCAAACGCGTCGCGTCGTCGTGTATATCCGCTCGATAAACTCCCGAATTTAATTGAATTTCGGCGAATGCGTTCGTTCACAGCCGGCCGTTAAATCGGTACGTTTCTAATCCGGCGAAGAAAGTAAAACGGCCGTTAGCCCGCCGTTAACCGTTAACTCCGTTAACTTGCTCGTCTACGACGGACCGCGAACGACCTGCACTTCGGTCTGTGACCGATCGGTAACAGCCTCTGGGCAAATCGAACCAATCTGGGTAAGGCTCGATTAGACTTTGTCATACGTTGAGGCGGAAATCACAGAGCCCTCCTCTTCAGAGCAAAAGAACAGTAACAAATTACCCGTGTTAGGTACGCCATTTCTTGTGGGCTGTATGTAACTATATAGTGCGAAATCTTGGATGTACGAGTTCTATTATCTTCGAGAGAACTAAGCAAACTAGTAAATAACGCGTTTTGCCTTTCCATAACTGCACCTCACCTCTTTAACAAACATAACGCTGGATTCAGTTGCTAAATTGTTGATTTTGTGTTTGCCTGTCTCGCTGCTGCCCATTATTGGATTATACGCAATGATGTTCTTGGATTTGGTGATTGCAGCCTTTGACGAAGCAATATTATTTATTTGTCTGAACCATTCAGAAAATAATTTATTCATAGTTAGTTAAATGTAATATATATTAGAATACCTAAGGACCTTACCTGAAAGTACTGCATGATATCGCGTCGTCGAACAGGTCGAGGATTGATAATTTTATAATTCGAAGCACTTTCTAAGTATTGAAGTGCCAATTTGTCAGGAACTTAGGACACGGAACAACATGCTCAGAACATGGAATGAGAAGATTCTGCTGTTAGTAGCACCATCTAGCGTGAGCTGTGTGCTACTTCTACTGTGTCCATTTGAGTCCAATCAACACTTTCCTTTATGCCAGAATAAACTACGGTAGTGCAGTACGGTGCTTTAAGAGGATTGCCATATTGGGAAATTTCCTTTAAATTTTGGGGATTGTTACTTGGGGAACTTTTTGGGCATATAATATTCTGGGGAAAATCACACGTTTGAACCAGACCTACTCCTTTCCATTAATTTACTACGATTTGTGTGTTTTTTAAATGGTGTTTTTGTGCTTGTTCTGGGGAAATTCCGCTCGAACCATCTGGCAACGCCGTGCCTTAACAGGTCCACTTTTATAACAGTCTAAGATCTGGCCGCTTGAATCTGTAGGTATATTTTCCAGATAAAACTGGATTTTTATGAATCATAAATCGTAGAATAAATTGCAGCAGAGTTGCTTTTGCCAGGTATGCCAAATCTTTAATATCACAGGTCGGTTGGACCGCTTTTTTTGAAATTTTGTACACCTGTACGACAAGGTTACGTAGGAGTGACGTAAACTAGACGACGAAAAAAAAAATAATCCGTCTCGATATTTTTCACTTTTATGTTTTTTATCACAGTTTTTGGGTTGCACATTGGCATGATTGACTAAATAAAAAAAAATCTAATGAATAGTAGTAATTAATTGAGGGGCCTGGAAGTAAAAGGGTTTAAGTACATTTTTAGTAGTTCTGGGATAAATGGCTTCAAAGTTTACTTGAATTTGAAAATTCCAGAATAAATTTATGACACTATATTAAGTTTATTTAAATGCCAATAAAACATTACAAACAAAAAACATTTTCTTAATTTTGCTTTCTTATTGTCATTTTTGCAAAAATGTACTTGAATCATTATACATGTTACAAAAATTATGGTGGTAACATGATTCAAGTGCAACTACCGTACTAAACCAAACATTATTTAAAAATAATCTATAACAAAATTTCTTATTCATAATCAGAATCTAATGTTTGGATGTCTTCATCATTTTCTTCATCTGAATCAGTTCGTCTTGGTTGGGGTTCATCTATATGAGGTACTTTTTGGCTTGATGTCAGGGTCTGTGTTTGTCTCTTTATTCCTTTTTTTGTTAATGCTTTCCCATCGTGCTTCATGTTTTTATAAAATGTATGGTGAATGGGCGGAATGTATTCCAATAAGCTAAGCAAGTTTTCGTACTTAGCGACTTTAATCTTTATTGAAGTGCCATTCAAAGGCTTTAGTATTGAAAAGTTAAAACACGGACGCCCAACTTTTGAGGTTGCCATTAAGCAACTGCTAAACTCACTCACATCAATGTTTAGGGTACTCTTGTATCGAAATGTTAGTCTTTCACTTTTATTGTAAGCAAACCAGCAAATTTCTTTCCATTTTAAGGGGTAACCGTCACTATTTTTTTTTTGGATCGTTCATAATTTCATTGACCGGCAAAAAAGAGTAAAAATCGTCTTTGTTCATATTGTACACAATAAATTTGGCCGATGTGCCTCTTATTACAGTCTCCCAATCTGCGGGGACAAAAACTTGAGGGATTTGCCTTTTTTTCTTCTCGATTAAGCCAAAACTACGGTCACATTCCATGTAAGTGTGCCCGGGTTCAAGAAACTTGTGATGAATGTCACATATATGTGAAGCTTGAACAATAAAACTAAATAGTTTAGAAATGTTTTTATTCTTATTTTGTCCTCCACACGAATCACTGTATGCAATAATCTCCGTAACTGTAGATGGAAGACTTTGCACAAATTTTATTAAACATGAGCCTATCTCCTGTGAGCCCCTGGATGCAATAGCTTCGTTCCATACATACATATAACTTTTTCCAGTCATTAAGTCAAAGACACAGAAGTTATACGTCCATAATTGACGAAGATAAAAGACTTTAGAGGTGGTTAACAATGGCGTCGGCAATGCCTGTTGCAAATCAAAACAAATTACAGCCGTATTTTTAGAATCATTTTTATTTTCATCAATATCAGCTTTTTTGGCATCTGTTCCTTTCTGGGCCTTTCTTTGGTGCAGCTCGAGGTCTTGCTTGGCATTTTTAATCACATCTTCATTTGTAGAATATTTTATTAAATTTTGTAAATTGTCACAACGACTGCAGGTATCACTATAGGGCTTGTGGAATCCTAAATTGAATTGCGTATTGAAAATATGCCTGCAATTCTACTCTTTTACTGGTAATTCTTGTTGGTCAATACAAAGCTTCTGATATAATTTGTACATCTTATTGATACTTAATTTTGCTGAGAGATACCTTGCGTTCCCAATCAGTACTCATTCTGTTTATTATTATAACACTACCAACACTGCAAAATGCGTACTTTTAACTAAGAATAAGTAAAACGTTGAAATCACGTCACGCGTAAAATATTAAACATAGTTGCGAAAGCCTTAGTAAGTAAAATGGTTCAAGTGCACTTGAATCATTTTACCACATACTGTATTAGTGGATATTTTGATATGTTCTCAAAGACTATGAGAGATGGTGCTAGGGAACGTTGCCTGCATTTAAATCATTTTACCACCAAGTTAGGATATGCTTTAGGGATGATATTCTGCACTTTACTTACCATTTACTTAAAAAAGTGCACTTGAACCTTTTCACTTCCAAACCCCTCAATTATCAAAATAGATCGATTGAGCCTCTTTTGTTTTTCACCTAAACATTTTTATATACTTAAGAGTCTTATTTTTAGCAGTTTTTGTGGCACGAAACTCAAAACTTCAAGGTTTATTATCAGGTTTTGATCAGCATTTAACACAGTAATGCCTAAATCTGAACGAAAGATGTATTGGGTACTCAGAATTATAGGGTGGGATTCTTTATTTTTATGTTTTTGTATTTTATCAAGTAGAACGCCCTTCAAGTTATATTATTAACTCACTATTTTGCAAACAAAAGGAGCTGTAAATGATATAAATGAACTAGAAAATAAATCTCATGCACCCTATTTACTTTTTTCGGTAATTTCTTCAATGATTTAATCATACCAGCTATGTTGTATAACAATGTGAGCCGTGCTTAGGAGGGAAACATTTGATAAGTAATTCAACTTTTGGTGAGCTGATCTTTTCCTACAGTAAAGCAGCTTCAAAATACAACAATCCTATAACAAATCTATTTAACTCTGCAATAACGGGCAGAGATCAAGGGACGCACTGTTCTCGTTCATCTCGTTGCAATAAAAAAGAAAATTCTATTTTCCGCGACCGTCTACCTACCAAGTACGGCGGCAAACAGACAAACAGAACAGCGTCCTCATATATTCCTAAACAGGAAATGAAAACTCCCCGGCACTCTTCTGCTTTCCGATATGATCTCTTCCACCGGTTTGAAGTAGAATAATGCTCGCCAGGAAAACTGAGCATCAAACATACGCGCGGAATCATCTGGAACGAATTGTGATCGTAAAAAAATCCGGACACACCGGAAATAGCTCTTATAACGCGGAATCGCAGGAAATAAGGCCAAGACAACGGGAATGTGATATTGGGGTCGGATGTAGGTCTGTAGTTCCAAAGGGAATCCAAAAATAATGTGCTATATATTTACTAGGAGAAATTGGGTGGAATAGATAGCCTTGATGCGACCATCTCCAAAATTCAAGCATATACAAATTATTCGTACCTTTTTCAATGAGCCATTGGCAACATGTTTAGTCTGGCAACTAATTCTACTCGTAAATGAATTTCTACACTCGAGACGACTTCATTGGGCAAAGTAATAACAAGGTAAAAACGTATTTATTAGAATTACCCATCCTTACATATTATAATTTTCATTGATGGTACTTGAAGTCGCCAGAATCAACTTAACATCTTCATCTTCACTGGAATCTGTTACACAGTAATCGTGATCATCATCTAGTTTTCGCATATGTGCAATAAACGGCACAATAAATGGTTGAGATCTAGCGGTGATACATCATGAGATGAAAATGTTATAAAAGGCACAAGGTGGCGGCCACAAACCCAAGCTTCCCAGCTATGAGTAGCATTTATTCTGGAAGCCCGCATGCGCTAGCAGATTCAAACTTTTAATTGTGTCTCAGAACCAAAACTGTTAAAAAAAGTTTAGTACCGGCTGAGAATCAGTATGGAATTTGTTGAAACAGAGAACCGCTGGTTACGAAATCAGTTCCATTGTCTGTTGGACAACCTACTGTCAGAGCGATCCGTGGGACCTTCGCTCTTTGTTGAAGTACCGTAAGTTAGTAGGTCTGTCAGGTCTGGGTACCCAGATACCAGACGAAGTAAGGGAGAAAGAAAGAAAGAAGAAAGAAAGGAAGGAAGGGGGAAGAGCAAAGAGGGTGAAGTGCTCCAGTTAAAGGGCTGCCTTGCTATCGTTAACTGGTATTCGGTTATTTTAAATTGATCCAAAAATTAATTTAGGAGTCCTACACCCCATAGTAAAATAATTATATTTACGCGGTGATCCGCTATAAATTGACTACTCTCTTAACTTATTTATATGACCATTTAGAAATGTTTTATACAAAAGTTGTAATATAAAGTTTAACATGCAAATTTTTTTTTACATACTTATCTATCTAGTACTATCAAATAAAGCTATATTTTATCTAAAGGCATACCCTGCTCACCTTTATTGAAGATAATAATCGCTTTTTTTCTGGTTCCAAATATTGAAATTTTGAACATCATTTACTTATACTTTAGTTCAAACCAGTTTGCATCTAGCCGCAGATGCCTACGCAATGTATGATCAAATGACACATACATTCTTGACTGAATTATAATGAACCGTATATAATTGGAATAAAAAAAGCGACTTTGATTTTCACTTAAAATATATAGGGTGTGCCATTAAAAATACAACTTTATTCCACAGCACTTTTCTGAGAATATAAAAGGGACATTGCCTGAAAAACCTTATATTGTATCCTACAATTTTTCTATATAACCTTTCCTTGTAAAAGGTCTTCCATGAAGTTGAGAGAGGAGTCAATTTGTGACATTCTAATACAATTTAAAACAGTCGGGATAATTTTTATATAAAAATCGGAAGAATCTAGTGTTAAAGTATAACGGTGAATCATATCTCTGTTGGCAAAGCGACAACGAAACTGCTTTCAAAAGTTGAATTTCAGTTACAATCAGTCTCCTGGAGGTCTATTCCTGACTTCTTTTACCTTATGTATTCGAAAACGTATGATTCGTACACAAGCAGAATATGCGACCGACTCCAAAAAAATAAACAAATACTGAATCCGCTCCTACGATCAGTGAGTTTGTATAATTGAATGTATACTGAACATAATAGTCATATATTAACAATTAAAGGAAATATGGCGTCAAGTTGGTTCGCTCTGCGCTTGCGACGCAGAGATATGCTCACCTCCAGCCCCTATAACCACTTGCCTTCGATTTTAGCCCCGACCCGACAAAAAGTTTTATAATTATTAGGAGCCTCTGAATTGTCCAAAAATTTTTTTTTGATAATTTATTCTTAACTGCCTAAGGTTAGTATAACTGGGAAAAGCCTCCTCTTGTAGATTGTGATAATATACTAAGTGACATATAAATCCGACCACCCAGTTTAAATGGTTTTTATTTTAATAAAAGTTGGTGAATGTATTTATCTTACTGTAAATAACAAGTGAAAAAATTTTCAGCCTTATCAGTTGGATATTCCGGTTTTTATACTGCTTTTTTTTAATTCACTAACGCTCTAAAAATGAATATTTCAGCCGCAGTAAAGAATCAACGTTGGCGGATTTTGGTTCTTGACATCCTTTGCGATCGGTTACGATGCCT